CCTTAACTGAAAGATTACATCCGCGAAAATATTTGTAGATAAAATTCTAATTACTTGAGAGACAGAAGTGGCTAATCAATGTTCCAAATAGAACGAAATAATTCTTCAAGTAACGAAACGAGATGTTTCGAAATCGTTGACTCTCGCGCGAGATTTTTGTCGGCAAATTAATGAATCTCCGGCATACCAGCGATATTTACTATCGGCAATGCACTCTTTACGTAAAACGATACGATCGTCGGTAAAACCAGGAAGAAACGCGCGAGGTGACACGCGATTCCCGAAATAGCGAGAGAAAGACGCGGCGTCAGCGTTCTCCTCGTATTCGCAAGGAAAGAACGAATATAAATCACACCGGCGACACATTTCTTCAGCGCGATAATCGGTTGTTACGCATCTGCGCTTCGTACGATCTGACACGAGCGAGATAAGATTGCCGCGCGCTATTTTAGATGTAGGTACAACTTTTTCTCCATCACCTTGTCCCTTTCGGCGACCCCTGTCGGAAATAATTCTACAAAATTCTACAAAAAATTAAATATAACTGTCAGAATTTAAGAAATTCTATGTAAATTTAAAAAGTGTCATAAAAATTAACATGAATGCTAAAATGCTAAAATTGGAACACTTTTGTTGATTTTTGTAATATTCTACAAGTAAGCAGATGTTTGAATTCTTTAAGATTTTGTTGTTTCTCAAATGTTTTAAACTAGTAAAGTTTTGTACTCATTTTTACAAAATTGTACATTTTCATGAAATACTACTTGCAATAATTTCTTGATTTGAGAACATTGTAATTTGTGGTACTATTTTGTAGATGTTCTTACAAAAAAAATTAATGTTTCAACGAGGATAAAAAAATTTCTACAAATTTCTATTTCAAGTCAATTTTTTGTAGTTATTTATAGGATTTTTTTCCGCTAGGAACGAGCATGTTAACAATGCTGACAGGATGGAACAGAGCAATGTGATAAAAATTAGTTAGCTGTGATAATTCTAATAATTGAAGAGTGAAGGTTGCGTTGATGTGAGATGGGTATAAAACAATAATGTTGGGTGATGAAAATTAATGAAACATTGAAAAGTAAATTAGACAAATTGAATGAATAGAAGGAAATGTTCTTCCAACTAGATTCGTGGCAAGTAGACAGTCTGAAGAATTTAAGAAAATAAGCATCAGATTTTAAGAATTGCTGCTAAACATTTAATCTTCTGCTACAAAGTACAACATTACTAAACATTAATTAAATCTGATGACAACGCTACTTTTCACGGGTTAATCTTCGGAAGAAAAAAGCCCGTCTGTTCTTAATTCTCTCAAATTAGATCAGACTAATTATTATCGGTTAACAATGGGATATTGTATCGAGTGTCAATGACATACAAGTGCGAGAGCATGCGTGTTACGCTCACCATGATAACGTTGTTGTAATGCGAGCCGCTGATGGTTAAGGAAGTCGCCGTGGAACAAGATCCACGGCAGAAATACGCGTGATACCCGCTGGGATGTAGAATCCAGTCGCTCCAACCTATATCCTTGAAATCAATGTAGAGATCGTCGCGGCAACACTCCGTCATCTCGGGCTGGCACTTCGAGTATCTCTTGGGCCTGTTTCGCTGCGGCAACGGTTCCGTGTTGATCACCAGAAACGGCTTGAGGCTCTGCTCGACGGACACCGGTGCTCTGTCGCGGTCGGTCGAGCAAGTCGTGCAGGCTAACTGGATGGCGTGGCTCAGTCGGTGTCGACCTATCCATTTCTTCACCATAAATTTCATGTCTGCCTTCACCCAGCCCTCTGTAAGGAAAGATTGACGATCCTTTGATACGCAGCGTAGCGTGACGGTCCGCAGAAATTGTGCGTCTTCATGAAGTTTCGTAGAAAGTGCGAGTTATTCTAGGCAGTTCGCGGGCAATTGTTTCTCCGTATTTGTGAGAATAGAGATTTGAAGTGCGCAGTCATGAGGAATAGCCGAATCCTTTTGCAATTTTACCATTTTTAATCTTTATGCCTTCTGCTTTCCATTCCGGAAATCGTGCGAAAGCCAAAAAAGTTGCGTAAAAGAAGAACGAGAATCTTCGTTGCTTAAGTACTAGCCAAGCTTAACTTTACTTCTCGCGATATTTGAAACGCGGAGTTTTCGATAGATTCTCATTAAATTTTCATTTAAACGTTTAGCAATCGATTCCCAGTCGTATCTCGCGTCGTTAGATAGGCGTCAGATGACGTTAGAGATCGTTCGGGACACCGCGATATGAGAAAATTATCCCTCGTCATTCGTATCGAATTTTCGGTAAAGCACGAAATTGCGATGTGCAACGGGGGGCAGATTCGCAAAGTGCATGCAATGCAACGGGGTAACGAAATTTCGCGGTGGAAGATTTCTATGCGGCGCGGATTCGTATGTGACGAACGTATGGGCGAGGGTTGAGAGGGGAGGAAAGGATTCCATCCGCCATTTACCCACCTCCGATGTCGGTCTCGAAGATTGCCATGACGGTGTTCTTTTCGAATCTGCCGCCCTGGTCCCAGTGATCGAGCTCGGAGAGCACGAACGTCTGCTTGAGCTCGTCGTCGTTCTCGACCTGTTCCTTGTAAAACCAGAGCTCCGCCGTGGTCACGTCGACGTACAGCATCTCGTTCGGCAGGTAAAATGTGAAACAGGCCGCCGGATTGAACCCCGTTATGTGATTCGAGTTCTGGCGATATTTCGTCGAGTCGGCCACCCCTGTAACCGCCGTGGTTCGATCGTTTTCTTGAAAGAACGTAACGCGATTGTTGGACGCTTCTAACACTACGGTTTTGCTCAAAAGCCGAAATGGAAATTGATTGTTTCCTTTTTACCAAATTCTTTGACTCTCAGACTTCGAAGTATTTGCGTTTCATGGATTAAACGTGACTTACAAAATCTCTTTCTTTATGTTACAATTATTTAGAGATACATAGATACGCGTGGACGAAGGTGTTGGAAATAAATTGTTGAGGGACAAGTGGCGGTTGTAGATTATTTCAGCCTCGAATTAGGACGTACATTAAAATTCAGAGAGATATTCTTTCCTTCACAAAAATAAGAATGCGCGTTGAAACGGTTCGATAAATGGGGACAAATATGTTATCTTATTTTTCATTTCACCAGCGTGACTTCAATATTTCTCATTTGACTTGAGTGCATGGTATCCGGTTGCCTCTCCTCTATGACGGACGCGTATCTATATGGGCTATCCCATTACAAACTAATTTGGTATGCCAATGAACGACACCGAAGACTCAGTTATTCGAGACTTTTGAGAGCGCGCCTTTGGCCGCGCACGATCGGCCTGCAATTTACGGTGCTCGAAGTAAGCCTCAAATGGAGCCACAATTATCTGGAAAAGTGCGCTTTAAAAGGTTCTCGTAACCGCGACAAAGGTTAAATGCGGCAAAGGTTATTTCTGTGCGGCACGTGCGATACGCGAACATAAGATTAAACAGAAACATCGAATCATCCTCGCCCGAGAAGAATAGAAAGGAATGCATTATTGCAAGAAATTGCTGCGAAAGGGACATAATTACGTCAGATTTTCTATATACTTCCTCATTTATAATTGTTATACCGTTTGACTTTCCGCAGTGTGTCAAAGGATTTTGCAATTGTACAGTAATAGAGAGAAACGCAACACTTTTTTTTCATGAGTTTAGGAACGTATATTTAAATCGCCGTTCCAAAACCATTTTGAGCGTTTCCGATCTATTTCTCGACCTAAACTTTCCTCAGAGAAAATGTTTTGGAACCTGAATCTAAACGCATGTTTCTAAACTCATAAAAAAGTGTCGCAACCACACTCAGAAAAAAGATTTAGTTGGGTTAAAGTTGTGAGATACGTTGGAATCACATTTCTTCGAATCTACTAAATTTTTATTTGCTTGCACTAAAACATTTGCTAGATTTGAAGAAGTTGAACGTAAATTCTCTCAGAAATTCCAGTCTCAATTAAATAAAATTTTAATTAAGATAAAGAAATAATTTTTTTGAAATTTAATTAAAGTCTAGTAAGGTCCAAATTCAAACAAATTTGTTTAATTTCAAATAAATTTTTTTCTGCGTGCATTCGCTCAAAAAAATATCTCACTAACGCAGGTAGATTTTTAGGTGGTGCAACAAAAATTAATCGCTATGTTTTGTATCTGTAGAAAATTGTAGCTTGCAAAATTTATAGCAGCAACATTCCAGTAATACCTTCTGGAAAGTTTAGGTTTCATTATTAAATATTAATCATTCTTATGAGATAATAAAAAATGTCGATAAAACAGACGGCTTTAGGATCCCCTTAAATCGATTAAATACAAAACATGTGCGGTTTCGCGGTATTGGCTAATCATTTATATACTTCGGTTATTTTGTCGTACGCAGAAAATTGTTGCTGCAGTTGCAACGTCATTTTTTTTCAGCGATTCTGTCTGCCACTGTACAAGTTTTTATACCATTTCAAATTGGCTTACGGCAATTCCAAGTTGTTTTGCAGAATTATCGATACCACTGTACAAAGTGTTCCCCGACAAATTTTTATCAGAGCCATCGGTGTCCGCTCGTAATAAACCGATGCGAAAAATCGCGCTCCGCTGCACGCCCTGCCGGCGTGTACGCGTCGACTGTCGGAGTGATTCGCGATATAACGCACTATCAAGCGCGTCGAAATTATTTCCGGGCGGATTCTTGGGCGATCAGCGTGTCCGATTGATCGCCACTTCCGCATGATTTATAGCCGGGATTATGCAACGCCAGGCGTCAGAGTGAATCCATATCGTTGCACAACGCGTGCCAAACGTCAGCGGCAGTGTGTGCCGCATGCGCGCCGTATTTTTATCGGTGCACCGGCCGTTTGATGAACGCGATTTAACCCCTATCGGATAAACCTTTTGGAGAATGACGTTTCCAGTTCATAAATATGGACGAGGTGACTGTCCGCGCGAGCAACTAATTTGACCAAACTATTAAATACATAAGTAATTTTTTCAAATAAAACGTCGAGTTTAACTGATAAAAATTATGACGTTGATCGGAATATAAACGGCTTCTTAACCCGTTGAAAACGCAACTGTAACATCGTGCAAATTATTGACGACATAAATTACTGATAACACACTGATCGTTAATAAACATTCAATTAAGTGGAAATGCGGCAAGATTGTTGGCTGTTAATTACTGTTGTTCACGATAATTCTAGTAGGATGTATCGCATAATTCTAGTAAATAAGCAAAGATCAGCAATCGTTATAGCGCCATATGGGGTCTTCCTAATCTCATGTTCTATTGAACGCCCTCCTCGCGTATTCTCAGGGTTCATAAGATTTTCATTTAGCAATCCGATTTCCGGATTATGTTCGTCCGTAGAGTCGTTCTGAGATTTCCGGATATTTTCGGAACGAATTCTACGTATACCTTCCGGACATTCTCGAGCATGCACTACCTTCCGATGTCGCGGCGCAGATTCGACAGCGCGATGAACATTTCCGGCTCACTGGCCTCGATCGCATCGCCGTAATCTGCCGCTCTTGCGCTGAAATTGCCGCGGGTTAACTAGGCCGAATAAATGTTTCAACATTACGAAGCCCCGACTTACGACTTACGTGTGTGCGGTTTCGTGCCGAAATTAGATAAAGAGCGAATATTTTGGGTTACACCCGATTGGCCTGTGTAACCTTCGCGCCGGAGAGACACGCGAAGTATATGTGCAGCGTCGTATCAGTGGACGTTAATCGGTTCTATGATAACGTTATATCCATCGCGAATGCGGAGAAATGCGATCCCCTTTTTAAGTTCGGTTGCGAACGCGTGTTTACGGGATGAAAGTTTACAAAACGAGTGCTCGCGTGTATAGAATATTTGCGAATGGGAGAATTGCAAATTGAGTTTGAAACTTGTGCAACATTTCACGGAAAAATCTCAAGAACAGAAAATTACAGCGCGATGAAAAGCTGCGCCGCGGAGATGGAGATGTCGCTTCTCCAAACGAGCGTAGTCGAGACGTTGGGAAAAGGAAAGCTTTTTCGCAAATTCAGATAATGCAAGATATAAGCGCTGTTCTTGCGAATGCTTTGTACAGTTAATAAATCAAAATGTTGGAGTTTGATGTTAGAGAGCTTTAAATATTTACAGTATTTGCATAAAGCAAAGAATAATTGGTAGAGGACAATATGTTCGAAAAGAAAATAGTGGAACAATTGTTATGAGAATGAGATAGGCTTCTAATATGAGATAGCGGAGTTTCTGCTAAATTAATGGACATCATCTGTTGGTTCCACCGTGAATTCATTGCCCCTGGAGTGAAATCTGTTTAGTGAAAAATTGATTTTTAGATCGTGTAATCGTTGCAAAAAAAAGATTTGTGATTGAATTTGATTGAAAACCTGCTATCTCGTATTGGAATCCTGTCTCATAATAGAGGACTTTCTTCTAGTTAAAACTAAACGGAGAGTATTACGATCGCGCGATCGATGCCTCCGTTAAACGCGGAGTCACAGTCGCGTGTGCGAGAAACGTTGCAAAAAGAGACGTGAAAAATATTCGGGGCAATAATATTCAGCATATTCGTGCGGCCGATGAACGATACGATTGTATTATCGTATTCCTACATTCCGTCGTTGGCAAGAAATTACGTGTTCGTAAATTATGCATGGCTTCGTTGCGAATAAAGTTGCATGACGCGGTAGAATGCCGAAACGGCAACAGCTGCTTTCGAGCGTGAAAAAAACTTTTACGTGGCGTATACTATCTTACAATTTCTTTATGCGCTAGATTTTATGTCTGAGCGAATATTTCGAAAGCAACAGGAAATGTTTGATTTCGTGCGACTCGGCCGCACGTTCCGTATCAATATTACTACTTGTGCTTTTCGTGCGAGGAGAGGTTTCAAGGAGAGGGGACAAAGTTTCGTATGTTAAGGGGATCCTCAAGCCGTCTGTTTCATTGACATTCTTTGTTAGAAGTAATCTTTTAATTTGCACATACACGGAGGGAATTTTCTTTTTTTAAAGTGTAATCGTGGGGCAACGTGACATTTTGAAGAACTTCATGAGAGTTGTTTGACATTTCACCACACATTTTACAAGTACAAGGAATTGATGTTAGAGAACTTACAAAATTTGCAATGTTCAGTATTTGTGTAAAGCGAAGAATTAGTAGAAGACAAGGTAACACTTTGCATGTGAAAAGAAAATAGACATATTGGAAGAAACAGACATTTCACAAGTAAAATGTATAGTAGATATAATTATTACAATAGTAAAACGTATGGTAAAATTTCAAAAACCTCATAAAATTCTTCGAAATGCTACGTTGTCTCATGATTACATGATTTTCAGGATAAATTTTAAGAGAAAATTATCCCCGTGTAATTAAAAATGAACCTTAGCGAGAATAAGTTTTTTCCTTTTTCTTGTCTACATACACTGTCTTACAGTTATTTTAAATGCCGCGTAGGATAAAGATTTAGACGCCCGCCCAGGGTGAAGAAGTCCAGGTTCAAACCCTGGCCGAGGTAACATTTTTCTTCTAATTAAATTATCGTCAGTTCTTTTTTCTTCCCTTATCGAGCAATGATACTTGTCTGAGAAATATTTAAAGAAACAGTTTGATCAATTACCTACTTGACTTTTGCTATCGTCATTGGGTTATTTTCTCGCGTCTCCCGTAATATTCTTCAAGGCTCGAAGTAGGCGAGTAAGGATAATTTTTCAACAGAAAGGCTTTCTCGTGATTTTAAGAAATTCATCAAGCACGTCGAAAATGATTCACATGGGCAATTAAAATGTCGGAATCGCGATTCCGCGTCGTAATTCGAGGTAAATTTCCGCCGCGCCGCCGGGATTCATACGTGCACCGTTCGCGCGGCTTCCGTATATTTGCATCGCCGCGGAAAATTTGAAATTCATGGTCCCAGCCGGTCGTCGGCGGTGCCTCTATCCAGAAGTCCGCGGCGAGAAAGAGAGAAACGGGCGTCATTGTTACCGGTTCTCGTTTATTTCGAGGGGGAGCCGTGCAATTACGCAATATTCATATCCTCGTCGGGCGTTTTTCGTCTGGCTGGCCAAGAAGGAACGGTCAGTTGATGATAAAGAGAAAGGAACGTGCTTCTCGGAGGGATGTTTCCGATGCGAGGCGTCCAGTTTCGCGTCTGAACACGCCGGGCATATGCAAACGTAACATTGAGTACCAAGTGACATTAAACAGTATATAGAAAATATTTTAATGCGTTAATTAAAAAGAGACTCGCGCGAAGGAGTTGACACTTGGTTCTCTACAAATTAATCCTTTCCCGTACACGATAGCAACAATTGACGGGCAGTCGTTGCATATGTAATTTTCCGACTTTACAAAATTACGTGTTACATTAACGGTTATTATTTACACTTGCGAGTCGCACGTTCCCGCAATTTATCATGAATTTCCGCGCAAGTACTCGGATACGTTTCCGGCACAATAGTTCATTTGCGGATTTCACTTCGTCTGCGCGTAATCGAAAAAGCGTGCATACTCGATATTCACAGATTTTGTTTCGCATCCGAATACTCGGAGACTAGGACTGCATCGTATGAGAAAGACGCGCGCACAATATTCGCGAATGACGCGTACCTTTTCCCCTCAGTGTCACTCGTTCTTCGCCTTTTCTCCGTCTGCACATCGCGCGTGGATTTGAATAACCGTTCATTAGCAGTCTACGTGGTCGGATATTTTCACAATAGTCTGCGTGTAACTGTAGACGAAGGGTACTGTTTTTCCGACAAGTTTACAATTCATATTTTAAGCGATTGTTAAAAATTCATTAGTATATTGTGTTACAGGGACAATACGCTATAATTTTTATCCCCGGCGAAATTGTATTTTAACAAATTGCGAAGGATTTTAATGGCTCTCTTTATAAAATTATAACAAAGTTCATTAAGGTAGTTTTATATACCGGCTCAAATTATCACAGCTGATTGTATCGCGGTAAAATTACTCTGAATATTTTTACAAATCTTTTTCAACCAGAGAAGCGCGATACACGTCGCTTCGTCCAACAACATTTCTTTGCAATCTGCGGTAAAAAGGTAGAAAGCGTTAATCTTTGTTTTGTTTCGCCAAATCTCACCTTCGCTTGAGAACACGACGACCTGGTTGGTCTTCCCGTAAAAGTTCTCCGCCGGTCTTTCCAAGTCGGGTCGAAGCACATTGCCGTTGATCAAAGGTTTAGGCAGGGTCGACAGCGGCATCGAGACTTCAGGCGGCTTTGATAGTCGCAGCTTCTTCAGGATCTGCTGCTTCACGTACTCCACTCTCAGCTCGGTCAACAACGGGTCGGGATCGATCACGGTGACTTTATTCTGCGCGCAGCCAGCGCAGTCGTTCTCTTTGTTGGTCAGCGAGTCGGACGGCGCATGGGGGAGGAATGTGTACCATACTTTCATCAGGGGGTTGATCGGCCAGTCGGCCACGATACCCCCTATAAGGAGAATAATAAGAACTTCCATGAACAGACGCATCTTACCCCGGCGATCCAGACGACTGATCCGAATCGAGTTCTCTTCAACTCGACTTTTTCTTTAGTCTGCGATTCAATCACGTAGGCTGATCCTGACGGTTTACTCGAGTTGCTTAGGTATCAAGGACGGTTTATACACTGACACCACCGACATCACTTTGTCGAGCGTGACGCTGTATTCGATCGGCGATTTGTATTCAGTAACCTCCATGTACCGTCGATCACGTGTCTTCCCAATACTTTGGGCCCGTGTTTCGATTCTATTCCGATAACTTTGACGCATGAGTTGCGATATTTATGATACTTACAGAGTCGTTTACGACAAACTCGATTCTCACTGGCGATTTCTGTATTTCTTTCTAGGAATCCCAGCGAGATTGGCGCGCAATTTGCGCAACGTCAATTTTATTGACAAAGTTGCAACAGGTCAGGCGGGTCGCACAGCCGCCGAGCCGATATCTGAGATTGGCGAACCACTTGGTCAATCTTGACTTCGCCTCTTTCCTTTTCTCCTCTTTACGCACTATATTTCTTACGCTTCTTTATCCCAAATATCAATCTCTGCAGAGCCGGCAATACTCTTTTTTTTTTACGAATGCAGAAAGAGACTGACGTCCGATCCGAGGACGATTCTCCTCCTCGTAGTGACCGACGTCCTCGACGGCGCGTTCACGGAGACTGGAGGTGAATCGTTACGATGGTCCAGTGATGTAGTTGACTCCGTATAGGCTGAACTTTGTTCCGTAGTCGCCGGAGCCAATGCGGGGACGAGTGTGATGCTGATATCAGCGCAAGCACGCGCCGTGAACATGCTGTCGATGGGATTCCATGTGGTCCATTGGCGGTTCCCGAAGTCTCGAATCTGTTCTCAATAGGCTGACGTTTATCTCCGCTCTGGTGGAAGGTGTCCCGCTCGTCGATCGGCATCTCGGTGAACCGCGAAAGATTATTTCTCTCGATGAGATCAGCGCGTCGCTTTCGTGTGCTGCTAGCGCTATTACGAAGGGAGATAAGGCGCGTATTAATGACGAAACGTCTTAAATTTCTTTCGTAAAATACTTATTGCACGCAGAGACGAAGCGTACGTTCTTCCAAGCGTACGCGCCTCGGTTTCTCTTTAAATTCCGAGTCCTGTTACAATATAAAATTCATAGAATTTTAATGCAATCTTTGAAAGTCTCCTTATCGATAAGTTTCAATCGATGTTGTCTTACGACTCATTACCGTGCTGTACGATACACCTTAAAACATAACATTTTTCTTAAAAAAGGTAAAAAAAGTATAAGCGCCATCCAATCAAGAATTATATAATTTAATTATTTGGATATATTTTATTTTAAAAAAACACTTATCTTCTCTAGAAAAGTAATGACAATTAAATTGCGCCAACTAAAATGGACATTTATACAAACTGGATACTTTATTATTTTAAAATGTTATAATCCAAACAACCGAGCGTGAGATTTTACCGGAAGGAATAAAGGAGACAATAATATTAATGGGACAAATTTTTAATACTTATTTAATAAAAATATAATGCAAGCAACTTTAACACAAATAAACATTACCGTGCAGTATGATATAACATCGCGATCGATTTCTGATTTACGACTATATCGGCGCTTCTTTGTGACGTACGTATGGCCGTAAGTGACGAAACGAAGAGCATTCATATCGCTCGATCGCATTCATTTGAGAATGAGCTTGCAAGGCGAATGTTTGCCGCAAGAAGACTGAAGATTAGCGTCAGCGGTTCTTTCAGCTGAGGCTTGCAACTCGCGGTTCATCGAAGAGCCCGCTTCGCCTTTCGCGGAAGATGACCCATCTCGCTGACCCGGAAACGTCGAATATATTTTTCCCAAACGTACGCTACGCGACGTACTTAAAACGTCGCAGCGGCGATGAGCTGGCTTTTTGAGGCGCCGAGATTATTCATTTATCGAATGCGCGGCGTGTTCTCATCTTTTTTTTTTCGAGCGCGCCACTTTGCAAGGAAACATCGTACCATAAAATACGGCCGCACTTCGATTCCGCGCACTCGCGCCTTTAGTTTAATAAATCACACGATAACGGTCCTCATAAAAAAGGGGAGGGGAGGAAAAAAACAATCGCAAAGAGAAATACTGCGTTAAGCGCCTTATAGTTTCCTACTGTCGGTGTCGTTAATAATTGCAGCGAGAGCAGTCATCGCCGCGTGCCAGGTTTCGGCACTCGAGCGTGATTCTTTTTTTTTTATATTCCCGTTGATCCACTGGGCTTCATGGTTCGCAAAATTATTACCGGATCCGGCATATCGAATTATTCTGTAATTCGCGCCGGACATGGCGTATGTAATCAGCAGTTCGCGCACGCCACGCTCATTTGTAGAATCGCTGCGCTTGTTTGCGTTATCTTATTATCGGCCGTTATCGAAATATGTAATTTTTCGGACTGGCGCACGTGACGTCATTACTCAAATTATATATAATAATATTTTATGTGCGTCGTCTTATTGGGGAAAAAGTTTTATCTATTCCGATAACGCGCGTGGCAACGTGACAAATTGTGTCGATGAAATATTGACTGCGTTTTAAATGTAAATCCACAACTCTCTCCATATTTTTGGAATTACGTCCATACATTTACGCTACATGCCAGAGATTGCCAGGAAAATATGGACCAGATACGCGTTAATATAAACAAACAGTTTTAATTTGGAGATTAATGCGCATAACTAAATACTCTTTTATTAAAAAAAACACACGCGTTTGTACACACATTCATTATCTCGCGGGGAAAATACTCCAATCTCCATAAATACGATATCTTTATACATATTTCTTCGTTATCTCGTAAAAATTGCATTTCTACGAATATAACAAGTTCCTTCTTCAAGTTACCTCGAATTTTATTACGGCGCACTCGCGCATTTAACAATGGGCGGAGGTTGCGGGGCAGAGCCGGGTGAACTTTTCGCCGGAAACTTTCCGGAGGATTTAATTTCCGACGCGCGTGTAACGAGGGCGATCCGCGATGCTTAACGCGGTGTTGTCAAAGGTGAATTCGATGGCGGCAGAAAACTTTATTATTGCTCGTACAACGGCAATTTAAAATCATTAGTTACGGACCCGCGCCTTCGCGTAATGACGAAGCAATAATCAGCATGAGATAATTGGAGAACTACTCGATGCGCAAATGGGCGAAAGTTGATTGTTTTTCGGCGGTATCTGGAGCACGCGTAAAAAATAATTAATTTGAAAACATCGCCGCGTTATTTTGTAATAAAAGAGGCGGATGGTAAATTACGTTGTACGGTATTTTTGTTTATCAATTTCGTGCGTTGTACCGTACAAGCTCTAAAGAAGAGATAAGAATGGAGAATGATAAGATGAGTTTTTCATATCAACCTCTTTCCTTTCATATCAAAAGCTAGTTTCGATAAAAGTGTTGATACTCTTTTTCTCTGCGCGAGCTAGTTTTGTTTCCCTTACTTCTTTTCTAATCTCGTTTTGGTAAATAAGAGCGATGTTACTTCTCGGAAGGAGAATAATTGGGCGTCCGTAGGCGGCGGGCGGACAGGAACGATTGCAATTTTGAAAGGAGGAACGAATTTTGCGCAATATGATAGAGAAGACTGAGGAGGTGATTGTAACATCCGTTTCGTATGTTATGGAGCGTACGTGATATCCTCGGTATTCACAGAAGCGATTCAATGGTTGAGGTTGAATCGCTCCTCTCGTCCAAAGATCATTCCATTGTCACGTTTCCTTTGCGTGGAAATACTTTGACAAGGAGTCGCTTAACGACGATTGGCAGGGTCGCTTTGTGAGTCCCTAAGTTTAAATCTGACAGGTCAAGAGGGCTAATGACTCTTAACAGAAATAATGCCTGTAACAATCGCGCGCGATATTACTCTGCGAGTTTATCATCGTAATGTGTCAAACTGAACATAACGAACGTATCCCGAAATGATAGAAAGTATTTACGCATATTTACATATTTATTATATTTCATCTGCTCGCCAACAATTATTTTTTACGTCCCGTTTTATCAGTTCTTTCATTTATTCGATCTTTTTGCGTGCAAATATGTACTGTCACTTCAGCATATTTAAATTAAATTTTATTTAATATGTTGTTGCGTGAATATACACGCGATAAAAATTAATATTACTTTTGCACTACGAAAATTATACCGAGAGAATTTTCTTTCTAAATTTACTCTGAAAGTCATGCAATCGTGGGACAACATGGCATTTTGAAGTACTTTAGGAGAGTTTGTTGAAATTTTACCATACATTTTCCTAGTAAAATGTCGAGGGGAAAACCGCTGATCAAAATCTTCTACATCAATGCCCACTAATGCCCAGTGGGCATTACTTTATCTTATTTTCTTATTTATCGTGTTTTATCTTATTTTATCTTATTTTAATCTTATAATGCCCCAGCAAGGCCTAATCAAATTCATTGAATTAAATTATTAATTCCACGAGACACCAATTCCGTATATAGAATATTGTTTTGTTATCTCTAAAATATTTTGCATATTATTTACACATCACTGAAAAACATTCTCCACTTTGCTCTTCTCGAATCTTTTAATATAAACATTAAATTTATCTACGTTACATAAGACTTGTATTTATATCAAATTGAATATTTGTTTATCAGTCAGCGCTAATTTCGCAAAATGTAACTCAAAACTCGCGACCTGTCCACTCGATAAATCCGCATATGTTAACCTTGCATTTCCTATTTGTTGTAATATTTAATTTTTAATTACCGCGAAATGCACTCCAAGTTAAGAGCAGGATGCGTAGCGCCGTCGTGTCACACTTGGTGCGTGAAACTGATCGCACGGAAAACAAACCCTCTTTTCGTCATTACAGTATAAGTGTATTCACGTTCCATTTACAGAACGTGTCAAACATGAGATGGATTAAAACGGATGGTACCGCGCGATTTATTTCATTGGTGGGCGAAATCTACATTAAATCCGTGTGTATTATTTACTGTATTGAATGTAGCTATCACACAGATTCAGCGTAAGTAATAATCTGTTTGAATGCGTATTTCGCATTTTATTCTGCCGAAATCACGCCGCCGCGTCAAGCTGATCGCGGACCCTTCTCGTCATCTTAAATGCATTTCCTCGCGTTCGCGTTTTACTTGTAAAATCTCGCGGATATTGAACATGCCGTAATTTCGTACTATTTTTCTGCTGTCGCGACATGATTAAGTACGTGTCGCGTATGATTGATATCGAGAGTGTCGTACAAAGTATGATAAAGTCGCGCGATCGTTATATTCTAGCGATTAGCGTAACCGCGCTTGGCCATTATTTTTATTTCGATATATTTATATGTCTTACAGATGTACAACTTTACTGTTGCTTTACTGTTTTTAACTTTACTGTTAATGGAAAAAATTTTTTAATTAACTTTCTTCTTTAATTAACTTCTCGTGGTCGTGCATTTCGATGTGATCAACGCTCGGATATATTTAGTTCTAACCGTACGAAGTATTTGTCGGTGACGATAATAAACCGTCTATGGAAGGAGTTTTCTTCCTTCCTAATCTCTGGTCAAAATGACCACACTGTATGGCCAGAAGCGACGAATGGTAGGTCCAGTCTGGCCCGACGAAGGAATACGACGAGATAAGTGGTCAATATTATCCACTTTGATGGAGTATGTAACTAAGGTGTTGTACGAAATAAGTTGATTTCTTCTTATTTGCTAAAATTTGGGTGGGTTATAATCTTATCTTTTTACATATTCTCGCATATATGCAAGATTGAAAAGTCCCCTATTAAATCCCTATTAAATCGCGTCGCGATTTACCGAAAGACTTGTAGGTTTATTAACAAAAAGTTGAAACGCGGACAGGTAGGAAAATGGATAGAACTATAAACAGCGGATTACGGGTAGGTAGGTAGGGATTCGATTAGGCAGGGACAGGGAACATAACTCGATTATGTTGACCAATGTACTATCAATGTAAACACAATACCGTACAATTATTGACACGTAACATTGGCGTTATGTTAACATTTATTCTGTATTCAATATTACAATTTTATTGGGCAATCTTGGCCAATGTTGGTCAATGTATAGCTAATAAATTATACTACTAGGGAAGCGTTTATGCGCAAAGGCAAGGCCTAATGCGATTTGTGGAGGTTTAAAAAGTATATAAAATAACCATTAATGTAACTATTAAATTAGTTACTGGTTACCGAAAAAAATGTAACTGAGTTAAGTTACAGTCACAGATGGAGCGAAAGTAACGAAGTTAAGTTAAAGTTACCAAAAAGAAGTAACTGTAACTGTAACTTCGTTACAAGTAACGAGTTACTTTCCAATCCTGATTATAATACATATAATCGATTGACAAACTGGCTTTAAGCCTGTATCAGACTACGGGTTGAGATTAGATTGAAATTTGACCAATTGGAGTAAAATTCATAAACATGAGATTAGTAAGCTTTGTAATAACTCTGATTGGTCAAATTTCAATCTAATCTCAATCTCAATTCGTAGTCTGGTACGGGCTTTATAATAAGTTTAAGAAAATGCGACATAAAGTCCTATAAGTTTTGTATTACGAAAGAGGAATTCTTTGAAATTATGTTGACATTTATATTAAACTTTTCTTGTCAATAAAAATAATTTACTTTTGAATCAATATACATTTTCAATAAATATTTGGGCAAATAACTGTTTTAGTACCATATTGAACGAGTAATAAAACATACATATTATACATCGTAATATGC